CAAATAAACTTTTACAGTATGAATAACTTGTCTTCTTTACGATCCCCACTATTTCAGTAGAATGCATCTCCCTGCTGTGTATAAACAGAACTTTTCAACAGAAAAGTCAGTCAGTTACTAATTACTGCAAGTTTTATGCAGAGCTGCACTTAATGCTACCCAACTTACTGCTTTGATGTACCAAGGATCGCTACAAGTATTGGCTCATTTCCTGCATGGCTTGTGGCTGGCTCAGTGCCTGAAACTAAAACAAAGAAGCAAATAGAAACTTTTCTCGGGGAGCATCCTAAAAACCTGCTATTTTGAGACAAAACTACAGAAGCCTTACTTTGATGCAGTTATTAATAGATATGCCAAAGCATGGTGGACTACCAAGTGTGAACTCTGAGCTCCCTGGTTCAAACTTCAGCAGATCCATAAACTCACCAGGTACCCTTGACTTTTCCAACTGTACCTGTTGCATAGGGAAGATCAGATAGACCTACTTCACAGGTCTGTTATGGGGAGGACACAATGGAAGTATTTTCACAATTCAAGTTTATTTTGCCATGCTAACGTTTGAATGTTTGTTTTCCAGCTGATAGATGCTCAGAAGCGTACAGAGATAACATAAAAGATATAATGAAAGCATTGTTTTTAGATTACAAGGAAGAAATAGCAACAACAAAACAGACAACCCACAATAAAAATGGAGAATATTAAGAAAGAGGAATTAAGGATTTTAATGTGGTAAGGAATAGACATGGGCAGAAAGTCACAACTAGAGGAGGGCTATTCAATGGAACCTACAGAGGAGTTGATGCACCAGATCCCCATTAAGTCAATGGCCCTATGCTAGTTGCAACATACTTCTGGATTTCAGCCATAGACTTAACCATTCATTCTGAATGGGGCAAGGACCAAAACAGTGTGTTTACTCATGGAAGAAATTTCAAAGGAATATGTACTCTTGTTGAAAATGTCCTCTCCTGTGCAGCTCCTGATCTAATCTCACATAATGATGGGATGTGGAACAAAACCTACCCCCAAAATCTCAGTAGGAGCGCCACCTCCTTTGGAAGCTGATGAAGTCCTGAGAGATACCATGGCACAGCTGCTATATCACCGCAAATGTATTATTACAACTAATATAATGGTTTTATCATAGTTCAGAAAAAAATTGCACAAATGCAAGGACAGGCTATACCTTTATTAGGTAATCAAGCTTTCATGGGCCAAGTCTACTTCCTCAGGCCTCGCACTGATATTTTGTGGATAGTGCAGAAAAATTGTAACAGAGTCCGAAAAAATTCAAGACAGGTGGTTGTGCCAGGTCTGTTTCTCAGTGGGAAGTTCAAACACTCACAACAAATGGCCTTTGGGGGTGTGTGTGGTTTCAAGCTTCGCCCCTAGTAACATTTGGCTGGAGTTTTTCACCCAATTCTTCAAACAAAGGGATTTGTCATATCCTTGTTGTCAAACAATGTTTTCCCAGACCCAACATTCATCCTCTTTCCTTTTTATCTTCACTTTTTATTCTAATGATCTCAGTGTTCCATGTGAGAAATGAAGGTACTGATCAATATGTCAGAATATTGCTGTGGCTTGAGTCTTAGGTATCAAGCGTCACTGGAAGATTCCTCCAGTTGGGGAAGAGTTTGAACCCCCTGAGCCTGAGGATTTTGAAAAGTCAGTCCCTACTGACTTATTCCCAAGGATATGAGAGGCTGCACTTCTAGATGGGAGATGGCCTGGCCTCTGAATTACATAAGGAAGCCGAACCTCCTTGACAGTCTGTGGAAGCAACACCAAGCAAGGATGTGGGATTGCTAGAGGCTACCAGGAGAATTGTTTGGTTCCAATGCAAAGGTCTTTTCAAGTATAGGAGGTTCCTTGGGAGAAAGTGGCCTCCTCAAATGAAAGGGCCTCCTCCCAAAGTAACATAAGGCAGAGGGTTTGCACCTGACCACAAAAGCTGTATAGACTCAACCCAGTTGCTAAGAAAAATATATTGCTTGGGCTTTCAAAGGTGCCCATCATTCCCGGAGTCCGTGAACCTTGCAACCTGAGTTCTGACGGATCAGCTGCTGCTTGATCTTGGACTGTATTTAAATTCACTCTTGGAATATTCCTGCCCTCCTGCTGTTTGAACTGGATTGAACAAGAGGAGGAATCCCTCCTCTTGGCTTACCTTCTTATTTCAACCTTGACCCTGCTTTTGAATTCTGCCTTTGGATTTGCTTTGTTTGGTCTTTCATACTAGCTGTAAGCGGCTTTACTGGTAGACAACTTCTCAAAGACTACCAGTGGGACCTAAAAACAGGATGAGCTTGGAGGACGTTGATCTGACTGAGCTACCATCTGGACTTGGATCGGTCCTTGATGCTGATCCAACCAAACCACAGCCTATAAAAGCAAAACTGAATCCTCTTGAGTTCCTTCCCTTGAATCTGAGGAGCCTGGTGCTTCCTGCACAACAACACAGGCAAGAGGATACCAAGTACAAACAATTTTCCATCTCCTAACCTTGTAAGAATCTCTGTGCTTTTAACAAGGGAGTGGAGCTTGGTAGGAATGGCCCACTTGAGCCAACCCAAGACATCTTGTTGCCAGGCAGAGTGAGGCAGCCACCAAAGGAAGCAGAGGAGGAGCAGGGAAAGGGCCTTGTCATTACTGACCTATGTGTAGCAAAAGTTATTTGCTATGCCACATCACCTAGCCCACTCTCCTCAGGTACAGGGTGGGGTCTAGAGTACTGTTTCTAGTACTGAAGTAGAATTAAATTCCCAGACAACTTCTGTACGTTGAACAGGAATGTGTATGGGATCTTGTCCTTTGCCTCAGGCCACAAACTTACTTGGGTCAGTCCCTGTTACTCATGTTTCTTCTTCCATAATTGAGTAATCCTGTTTATTAGAACCACTGGAATGTTGCAAAAGTGATGCAAGGGTGGCCTGAATTCTTAGTCAGGTGTGATAGCACAAAAATTAGGGCATGGGGAGAACACAGCAAGGTTAAGAAAGAAAAGAGAGAAGAAACGAAAAGATAGAAGAAAAAGGATAAGAAAGAAAAGGTAAAAAGGAAGGAAAGGAAGGAAGGAAAGGAGGAAGGAAAGAAAGAAAACCAAGCCCGTATATTGATCATGGAATGTCTCTCCAGTTGCTCCTCGCCTCTGGAACAACCTACCTCCTGAGATCCGTGTGGCTCCCTCGCTGGGTATCTTTAAAAATCAACTTAAAACATGGATGTTTCGGCAGGCCTTCCCTCCAGTCAATCCCTGATACCCTCTTTCTCCCTTGTATTTGTCTATTCTATTATGTCTATTTCTTTGTAAAATTGTTTTATATTTATTTACTGTTCTGTGTTATGCTGTTAGCCAACTAGAGTGGTCTTAACCGACCAGATAGGTGGGATATAAAATAAATAAATAAATAAATAAATAAATAAACAGCAAAGGTACAGTACTGAAATACCAACTTACCACATGCTGGGATGTCTCCCCCATCCCCCACTATTGCACCAAAAGCTATACTGGAAAAATCACAGGCAACATTCTTGGAAGAGTCACCAAAAGCTGCCCACTGCCTCTTAGCCCCTGGAGCAAACAGATCGTGTTCAAGTCCTGGGGGTGCTATAGCTGTTGCTCCTGCTGCAACAGCAAGTACAATCCAGGGAGCTGAGTCATGTCTCTCGGAGCCAATGAGGGCAAGTTTCATTTGCCTCAAGGGGCCATCTTTTTTGGTTAACTCTGCTGTTTCTCGATGCTTGGTGTAACATTCCCACACAAGGAAACTGCTGTAAAATTCAAACACAGCTTTGCTTGCTTACAAGTTTCCAGACTGCAAATCTGTACATGTCCATGGAAAGCTTACATCCTCTCCCTAAGGTGTCAACTTTCCAAATGCAGGGTTTTTTTAAAAAAAATTAAGCTGCTTAGAAATAAGCAATTCCTCTTGTTCATTTTGAAGTCACACAGAAGATCACTGATCTGTTAAGAAAGAGCACTGCTTAGAAATAAACACATTATTATCGTACATCATCACTGCTATCTGCAGTCAAGTTGCTTGCCACAGATGCTGACTATAGCAGGGTTTTCAAGGTATGTGAGGTGGCCAAAGACTGGTTTGTGGCTGGCACACACATATAGTAGGACACACACACACCCGGCCCCCATAACTGCAGGCAATCAGTTCCAAGCCCCTCCCCTGCAGATGCTGAAAAAAGCAGATTATGCAAACACTACTATAATAACAAGTATCATATAGAGCATTTTTGTTTGTTTGTCTGTTTAAATTTATACTCCACCAATTTAGTGAGCATGCCACTACTCTGGGCGGCTTACAAAACTATATAAAACATACAGCTGAAAATATTAGAACCATGGTCTCTGGCTCTGTCTAGTGTCCAATTCTAGTAACGACATCGTAGAAATATATTTCTCTAGCCACTATGGTCTCTTGCTCTCTCTAGTGGCTAGTTCTGGTAACTCCATATTAGAAACATTTTGGGGAGTTCTTTTAATATTTTCAAACTGTGGATAAGTGAATCAGCGGATACTGATCCCAGAGATAAGGGGGTCCTACTGTACACATGAGTGAGTTTCCATAGCCAAACTAGGATTGGAATCCAAGTTTCCTAAATCTTAGCCTAGCACCCTATTCACTACCCAATACCACACCTGCTCTCCAGAGGCAAAGTCCATTCGACTCGGCGGGATTTAAATACTTCTGAACCAACGTGCATACGATCCTGGTCTGCAACTCCTTGGGAGTTTGACTTGGGCAAAGAGTCAAAACCCTGTTATTACGGAAATTTACATCCAACTAAACGCAGGCGAGGTGGAGTCGGCTTGAAAAAGCTGCAGCCGGCTACGGGCACTTCGTTTATACGGGTGCAAATCGCGCGGAAATTTTGCGCGCTGAGAATCGAAGGGAAGGTGGGATTAGGCAAGAAAGCCGCGCACCGTCTTTAAGGCGAAAAGGATCGCGTGCGTTACTCTTTAAGCGTCCTGGATAGGATCGGAACAAGGCCATCGTTTCCCTCCAGACGCCTCTCCCCCTCCCCCAGCCAGCTGGGAGCCGAGCAGAGCGCACTCGAGACGTCACTTCGCCGCTGGCGGACGTCACGGCTGTGCTCACAAGGACGTCACGCCCTCGCTCCGAGTCCACGCCGGGCGCGCGTGGCGCCTTCATTGTCCCTGGTCTTCGCGCGCTCACCCCCGCGTCCAAAAAAGGAGGGCGGAAAAAAAAAGAAAAATTAAATCAGGGGTGGAGGTGGTGGAGGAAGTGGGATTTCTTCCCCTCCTTTCTTCCGGTCCTCCTGCCATATTCCTTTTTTGGAAGGGGGAGGGGAGAGGAGAAGGGAAAACAGTTGTAAATGAAATAATCGGAGGCAGCGGCGGCGAGGAGCGCGGCCCTAGAAGGGGAAGGCGAAGCGCTGGATGCCCCGGCGAGCGGCCCTCCAGGGGAGGAGAGTTCCGGGGGCTCTGCCGTCGGAGGGCTTCTCGCGCCCGGCTGCTTGCATCCCAGGGCTGGCTGACTCTTGAGGAGCGAGAGGAGGCGGCGTCTGGGCAGCTGAGCTCACTTCTCGAAATCGCTCCAAGTGACCATCCGTCGTCTCTCCGGCTCATCGCTGATCTCTCTCTCTCGCCCGCCTTCGTGCTGGGAAAAGGGCTCGGGGCGGTGTAATCAAGCGGCGCCGGGGTTAAGGACACCCTCCCTCACCCCCGTCGGAGGGGCGGGGGGAGCGAGAGGCACCTCCGCGCATCCTGCTCCGCTCCACACACACAAAGCGGGCGCCCTGGCTCGGCGCGCTCTCTCGCCCGCTCGCTCCGGCCCTTCTCCGGTCCTTCCCCCGCTTTCCACGCCAGGGGCAAGCCGGGCTTCTGAATGAATCAGCTGGCCAGCGTCTCGCCTCCTGGGCTCCGGCGTCCGTCTTTGCCTCCCGGATTCAGGGCCGGGGGTTCTTGTAGCTGAGCCGGCCGCTGATTTCGGCGCTGCTTTGGCCACTCGCCGGCTGTTCCGGGGACGGGGAGAGGAGCAAAAGGAAGGGAGACGTCTCCGTCCGAGGATCGCGGCTCTTCTTTCCGGGAGACTTGGAGACGGGAGGAAATAATAAAGGTAGGCAATCAATCGCTGCCGGATGGGTGCTGTATATGCATTGGGGTGGGGGTCGGTGGGAGAGAGATGCTGGACGATAGATTTATTAATGTATCGGGTCGGGTGGCTGCCTGCCTGCGCCCGCCTCAACGTGAAATTGACTAACCCTTGCTTGCAATTGACTAAGCGAGCTTTGTTAACATCCTGTTCCTTGAAGGAGGAGAAGAGGGTAATCGGGTTTGAAACTCCAAGCGGCAGAGGTGCCCAATGTTATTGCTGCTTCTCCCCACCCCCACTTCTTTCTTTTAAATGACAGCGATCCCCTGTGAATAGCACAGATTAGGTGCATCTCCGGGGGCTTTTTATCCCCCCTCCTCCCTCACCAAAAGGAGGCAAAGAAAGGTATTGCCCCAAACAAGATGTGTTTATTGCGGTTGCCGTGCTTAGTAGGGATGTTGTTGCTCGTGCTCGGTACGTGTGTCTGCGTGTGAAAGGTTGGAGCCGTCCGCTAGGAAGGCGAGAAAAAGGTCTGCGAGCACCGATGCGCGCGACTCGGTTCTGATTCACTTTCTTTTGTTATGATCCGGCGCCTGGTTCATAGGTCCTGATGCGGGACTCTCTGCATAATTCAAGACTCCCGCCCACCGGCCCCTGCCATCCCCGGCCCGCTCCCTCCTGGGGGGTTACATGTAGGATCAAATCGCTGGGGAAAAGAAACCAGGGCAGAAGGGAGGGGACTGGAGGCGAAGCAGGGCAATCTGCTGTATCTGGGCCAAAATATGAAATATTAATCGCACTCGCTCCGATGGTTTTTCCAATCTGTCGTCTTTTGTTTTTGTTTCTTTAACTGGCGGGGGAAATGTTCATTTGCAAGAGAACTTTACGGTGTGTGTGCGTGTGTGTGTCTTTACGCTGTCGTATCATCTAGGATCACGCCTACTCCCCCGTGCCCTCTTCCTCTCTCTCTCTCTTAACCTGGTCACGCCTTAAATACTGGGAGTAGGATTTAATCTCCTGGAAAATGGGGAAGCTCTCTAATTAAGGAGCAAATGGGGCTGTCTTTGCCTTGGAACTTCTGGTGCTTTGTGTTTTGAAGCCCGCGGAGGTCACGTAATATATAATCCACTTCTTTGTCACGGAGAGAGATTTTTTTTTCTGTGTCATTCTTCCAGCCGCGGAGGTTGGGCAGTCCCTCCCGGCAAGACGTGAGCAAGGAGGGAGGGAGGGAGGGCAAAAAGCCGGTGTTCTGTGCGTGCGCGCGCGCCATTCTGAAAAATTGCAAGAATCTGAGGTTGGGAGCGTAGTGAAGTCTTCAGTGGCCTATCGAAGAAAAGAGCAAACCGGTACAGGTCACTCTCCCTCCCAGCGCTCCCTGTGCTGGTGGATCGTGTCACCATCGTCAAGGCTTAAGACACTGTTGCCTAGAGAACCGGATCGCGGGGGTGGGAGGTGAAGAGGAAAGAAGGAGTCTGATCTGATCTTCTTTTTTCTATCATGTGTAATGTTGGGGCGTCCAGTATGTGGCACAGAAGTGTGTTTCCTGCTTTCTCAAATGCAAGCTTGATTTCTCTGCAAAGAGTTGAAATGGCATGCCTACTGCAGAGACGATGAGGCTCCCGGCTCAATCTCACCTCTGCCACAAACTCACCATATGACCTTGGGCAAGGCACTTCTCATTTTACCTTGGGAAGTTGCTTCAAATGTTTACAGGAAGTATGGGTGCTTCCCAACAGACAGCTCCTGGCACTATCTGTAAAATGGCACTGGGTAACGCTTCTTTTTTTTCCTTTATGAAGTATTTTTTCCTCCCCATCCCTTTTTTAAAAAAGAGGAAAGAAGAAGTATCAGAGAGAGTTACAAGTGGACAATTGTCTGGCTTCCCCATGAATTTTTTGTGAATGAGGCTGGGCAGTTGCATGATAAAAGCCTCTGCTCTAGAAGCCGCTGGTGTCCATAAAGCAGTCTGAGGATTTGCAACATGCTTAGCTGAATGCTAAGAATGTTAACAGTGATTTGGGTGCAGAGTCACAGCTCATAAAACAAACATCAAAGGTTACAGACAGTCTAGAAGGGGATCCAGTGATGGGGAGGGGTATACAGGAAGGAGGAAACTGGCCAAAATTGGGTGGAGGCATCTTGTGACAGTCCTTGTTTCAGGTAAACCTGGATCCTAATAAATGTGCCTTCTCTGAAATGTATGTGCCCATCCATGCAGTGAATGTGAATGTGTGATGTGTTGATGTGCCTTTGGCTTAATCCAGCTAGTTTAGCATTGCGTTTTTCACACTGACTACTTCGCAGCTCCTGACAAGCTTGGTTTGATGACAACAGCCCTCTCCTGCTGCCCATCCCTAGCTGGAGCATCTGGTGTTCACTGGTATACTGCCTCTGAACATGGATGTTTCTCTTAGCTATCATATGGTTAAATAGCTGCTGGTATGTCTGTTATTCATGAGTTTGCCTAATTTCTCCTTCTTGAACATGATGTCAATGGCTGGCTGGAAATTATAGGAGTTCTAGCCCAACACATTTAGATAGCATTAGGTTGGGGAATAACAGTCTCTTGGTTTTTTTCTTTTCCTTTTAACCTTTCTGTCTCCATCTTGAAACTTTAATTTAACTGTTTTATTTTTCTGTTGTCTTCCCTTTCCCCACAACCAGGTCTCCAATGAAAGATCGTACAGAACTGTCCCGTTAATTCGCTAGAATCTTATTGCTGGTTTGGGTTTATCCGAGAGAAGCTGTGTAAATCTTAGTTGCAAATTGTTGTGCATTAACAGTATGTGGGTTGTGTTCCTGGGCACACACCCAATGTCCCAACCAGGTACTGTATGTACTCAGGAACAAAACCAACCCCTTGTTAATGAGCAGCGGTTTGTCACCGATATTCCTGCACTTTTCCTTACATGAGCACTGATAACTTTCCTTTGCCTGTTCTGAACTAACAGTTTGCTTCTCGTCTGTAGTCAACTGACCTATCCACCATATGAGAAACTGGGAATGTGTATGTTTTAAATATGACCCTTTTGAATGAGTACAGTGGGTCTTATAGCACCTTAAAGATCAATACATGTATGGCAGCATTCTCTTGAATACCTCTCATTTTTATTCTGTCCATTGCATAGGGCTCCTTGCAGTCTGCTACCATTGTTCTCTTTCCAGAGTAAAAATGGATTCCTAACACCAAGGGCTGATTCAGTTATACCTCCCAGTCAATGACTCGATCAGCTGATTCAGAGATCTAAGTGTGAATTGGCTTTATTTCTAAGTATTATCTCTGGGGAGATTGCAGAGTGGCCTCCAGAGGTTGGTAAGGCAGAGCGTTTACAAAGGTCCAAAGTTTGACAGAGGTTCTAATAGTGTCACCATTTCAAAAAAGGGGCTGCCTTGGTTCTCTTTAGGAGGAGAAAGGAGAGACAAAATAGAATTAAATAAATTCCCCATTTGCCTGGCCTTTGTTTACTGTTAGCCAAGAAAATCAAGCACAGTCACGGAGAATAAAGGGATAAGGAGAAGCAAAAGGGGTGCCATGCCCCAAAACCTCCTAAATCCATGAGTTGATATTGGATGATACTCTCTTGAAGCAGAAACACTGTCGCACCTGAGCAGGATGGTGTTCACCTGGAACAGTGGTTCTCATTCTTGGGTAACCCAGTTTTTCTTGGACTGCAATTCCCAGAAGCCTTCACCACCAGCTATACTGGCTCGAGTTTCTGGGAATTGCAATCCAAGAACACCTGGGTTACACAAGGTTGGGAACCACTGGTATAGAGGCTAGGTGTTGTGGATTGCTACACCTATAAGCCTTAGTTAACATGACCAATAGGGAGGGATGACTGGAACTGCAGTCCAGCAGCATATAGAGGACTGCATGTCACCCATCCTTGCATTATGGGATGAGAACCTATGGCAAATTACATTTTCTGTTGTTTTCTCAGGATGGTTGAAATGCAAGTGAAAGTGATACACTGAAGCATCTCTTTCAGTTGTAAGACATTTAGGGAGTGGCCAGTGCTCACAAAAGTAATTCATATCTGCTGAACTTCAGCTGAATTTAAGAGGAATTACTTGAAGCTAAATCCAGTGGTAACTGCAGCAAAAGTAAAGCCATTGAACTGAATGGAATATCTGTGCTCCATACTTAATCTGGGGTGAATGTTGGGTTAGCACTTGGTTTGGAAATCTAAATCACTGCTATAATTACAACATGTCACCTAGGCTTCCCCCCCCCTAGAATAGGGATCAAGAATATTTGGCCCTCTAGATGTTCAAACTACAGTTTTCCCCCACCCTATGCTATTGTCCATGAGATCGGCTCTTCCTCATTCAAATGGGAGAAGTTAGGGCATGTCGGGTACCTATGACATCAAACTGACTAGCCGGAGTATGATTCACATTTTCAGCCCTGAACAATTCTGTGAATAGAGCATCGATTGTTCGTTGGAGGTGTAAATCTCACCTGTCCATCTTGGCTATTAAAATCTGTCATGTAAACTGTGAGCTAGTTTGATGAATAGGAATTGGCAGCAGGAAACAAGCACCATTCTTGGGGCCCTGTTTCACGCTTCCCCATCACATCCAAAGGGAAGCCTCCATGCCTACACCGAAATGAGCAAACTACACAGCAGAAGCAGAGCATGGCATGGTTCCTTCGTATATGACAATGCTCAAAATCCTGCAGTCAAGTTAATGGCTGAGCAGGACTGCACACATCTCACTGATTAAAGAAATATGAATGTCCGCTAAACCTCATCCTTTGAAGAAGCAGCTTAGGAAATAAGAAATATAAATTGGTTGTTCCCCCCTCCCCCCATCCCGGGTTGATTGGCCCACACAAAAACAGGTCTTGGTTGGAAGGTTCTACATACCCGTTCCATAGCATGTTACAGACTGTTTGTTCAGTTTTCAAGACGGGTAGCTGTTTTGGTTTATTGTGGCTGGGCAAAGTGCAACCTTGGGAGGCACCCCTAAGCCTGTTTTTGTGGTTGTCTGTCCAACCAATGAAAAATAAATAAGCAATA